CCCCCCTACCCCACCGGAGCGATCTGCCCAGCAGGCCGGGCGGGAGGGGTGGCGAAAGTGGAAGTAGGCGGCTGCGCCTCGGATTGGGTTGTCATATCGCACATTTGTTTGCCGCGCGCACAAACATGGCGCCCGACTCTGGAGAGCACACTGCAAAACAGACTGGGAAATAAAACGAATGGCGCCGGCGTATGGGGAGGCAGCATGGTGTCGTTGGAAAACTCATTCTCCCCGTTTTCGGTGTGATATTTGTCTCGTATATAATATACGAATCGGCCGGCCGCGCTCGCACACGGTGGCCGAAACAACGAGGCAGGGACCAAAGTGGCACATAAATCATCCCCCGCGGTAGCCTGGCGTAGCGGGGGGTCGAGAGGGGGAGGAAGTGGAGGGGGGAATGGCTAAACGATTCAGCCGACACCGCGCAGCCCTGGAATGCCGCTCGGCTCGCGGCCCCGCCCAGCCCCGTCCCGCTCGTGGTCCTCCTGGTGTCTATTAGCGAACCGGCATGGCGCTCCACTTGTCATGTAGCTTTGCGCTGCGGCTGCGTGCGGCGGGCAGAGCAACTAGTGGGGCGGCGAGGAGGCCGCCGACGCTGTTCTCACACCCACGGGTAGCCCCCAGCCCCCGGGCCTCCAGCCCCCTACAGCAGCGAGCACGGGGAGCTGGCGGCTGGCGGCGCGCCCTCTGGCAGCGCGACAGGCGCGCGGTTAGGCCGTCCCGTCGCGCACAGGTGAGCGCCGGGCTGCCTATCCTCGCGCCGGCAGGCGGCAGGTGCGCGGGCGGGGGGCCAGCAGGAGGCCCAGAGACCCGCGATGCCCGCTGGCCGTGTAGCGGCGACGTCCACGGCTCAATAGCACCCCGGAGGGCCACTCTCCGCCCGCAAGCACTTTAGAGTATTGAAGGCGAATGGGCGGGCGGGGACGCGCGCCTTCCCTTCGGCCTCCCCATCCCCCTCCCCCTCCTGCCCCTCGAGGTCCTCCGCTCTGGAGCTCTGCTCCTGCTCCCGGCCGCCCTTGCCGAATCGTTGCTAGAGTGGATGTGTTTCTAATTGATAAACGTGTGTCGCGGGCCGGAGCGTCCCCAGAGCAGAACCGCCTATTCGCTCCGCCCCCTCACCTCGCTCCTGGCGCCGTCGGGCATCGTCTCTCCACTCCCCCTACCTCGGACGGAGACGAACTGCGGGGCAATTTGAGGACTTCCCGCCATTTTCATCGCGTGCGCAGGGTGCGGGGGCTCTGCGGGCGGAAGAGAGCGGAGAGTGATTTACGCTTTGCCCTACCTCCCCCTTACGCCCTCCGGGCTCTCCCCTCTCCCTCCCCCTCTCCTCGCTTTCACTCCTCAGCTCTGCGAGCGACCCTCCGCCCCCCACTCTTTCCAGCAGCAGCTCATTCCGAGTGCGCGGAGAGTAACAAATGACCTGATGCCAGACGTTATTTCGAGCGGAAAATACGGCGAAAGGATCTCTACCTCCCCTTCCCTCTCCGTGGACTTATCGCACGTGGGCCAGCTGCCATCTCTCCTAACCTTACCTACAGCCGAGCCACTCCGCCCCCAGAACGCTCCAGCCAGCTCTCCTCAGAAAAAAAACGCCCAATGGCCCTCATGGGTGGCCTTGCTCTTGCCATGCCTCCGAGCCGAGGATGCGATACGTTCGCGCCTCTCCTCGCCGCCCCCCTCTCTCTCTCTCTCTCTCTCTCTGTGCCTGGACAACAGGTGCTTGGCGGAGGTCCAAGGGGTGTTCGGCATGACGGGGTCCTTCTTTATGTAGGTGGCTATGAATTAAACATGGAACATGAACCATGTAGTGCCTTTGAGTGGGCGGGGAGAGGAAAGGGGGTGGGTAAGCACAGCCACCTCGTAGCAACACGAATAGGTCAAGTCAGGTGCAGTTGATCCAACTAAAAGGGTGAAAGTAAAAAGCCTACAGAAAATGTGCCATGTTAAATTTAAGTGTATCCCATGTGGATTATCTCCTAAAGGTGTACATTTTCCATGACTATTCATCTCGATTCCTGGGCCGCTTTCAAAAATGTGGCGATTACGGCCAATCTCATTCGTTCTCTACCTCTTTTCGTTGCTGTGTAGTAGGTGGGCTTTCTGCGTTACGCAGGCGGGAGCAGCTGATGTTGCTGCGACTGCAGGCGGACCCCGATCGATATGCTTACCCGCCCTCACGCGCCTCTCTCGCTGGTTCTCTCCGGTTCTCTCTCCCTCCTGCTCTCTCTGTCTCCCGCGCCATTCCCCCCGTCCCCTTCCCCATGCCGCGCTGCCAACCACCCCCTCTCCCTTCTCCACTCGCTCATCCCACATCCCAAAACCTTTTACTACATTTCCCTTTCCTGTGTGTCGGCCCACTGTGTGCGTGTGTGCGCGCGCACGAGCGACGAAACATTATGATAATGCAATGTAAATGACCACCCTCGACTCTGCCCTTTCTCTCCCTTCTCTTCTTCCCCCACTCGGCATTTTTTTGTGAAAAGAATTTCCCACCCTCTGCATTTCTTCTAACGAGCTGCCCTTTGTTTGTCTGTTTTAGACGCGCACGCCTGTAAAGAACTGCAGACCTCGTCACACCAGTTCGCCGTGCAGAACTTCCAGGAGGTGATGAACACGGAGGAGTTCCTCCTCCTGCCCTACAACGACGTGAGTCCTTCCTCTCCTCCCTTTTCTTCCCTCTGTCTGCCGGCTCCACCCCTCCCCACCCCCACAAATGTCATCAACCAGTCCTCTTTGTCTGTCCGCGCGGCAGGTGGAGGAGCTCGTGTCCTCCGGGCAGCTGAACGTGTCGAGCGAGGAGAAGGTGTTCCACGCCGTGCTCAACTGGGTCAAGCACGACCTGGCGGGCCGCGAGCAGCACGTCGCCAAGCTGCTCAAGCACGTGCGCCTGCCGCTGCTCGAGCGCGACTTCCTCATGTCGCACGTCGAGTGCGAGCCGCTGGTGCGCACGTCCGAGCCGTGCAAGGAGCTGCTGCTCGAGGCCATGAAGTACCACCTGCTGCCGGACCAGCGCGCCGCGCTCACCACGGAGCGCACGGCGGCGCGCCAGCCGGAGGGGCTGGAGCCCTTCCTGTTCGCCGTCGGTAAGGACGTGTGCATGTCGGCCTCCCCGTGCACGCCGCCGCACCGGCGAGTTAGGGTCAGACCATGACGGGGAGCCTGCCCCTTTGTTCAAGGAGGCGGGTCGCTGTTCGCCATCCACAGCGAGTGCGAGGTGTTCTCGGCGCGCGCGGACCGCTGGCAGGCCATCGCCCCCATGCTGTTCCGCCGGTCCCGGGCCGGAGTCGTCGGACTCAACAGGCAGCTGTACGTCGTCGGCGGGTACGACGGCACGTCCGACTTGTCCACGGCCGAGTGCTACTCGCCGCACCTCAACTCGTGGAGCACCATCACCCCCATGGGCACCAAGAGGAGCTGCCTCGGTGAGTGCTATGGACGGGCGGGCACCCTTCAGGCCGAGCGAGCTGCGGTTACTGAAATGTACTGCTCCCCCAGGCATATGCGCGCTGGACGGGCTGCTGTACGTGTGCGGCGGGTACGACGGCGCGTCGTGCCTCAACTCCATGGAGCGCTTCGACCCGCTCACGGGCGTGTGGACGTCGTGCCCCGCCATGCTGCTGCGTCGCCGCTACTGTCGCCTCGCCGTGCTGGGTGAGTCCTGAGAGAACCAGGCCACACACATGACCCAAGGTTTTCCCTTCCGACCAGTAGCCGTCCTACTTGGAGCGCGCTGATAGTGTGTTCTGCCCTGGCTCTGCCCCTCTGACAGACAACTGCATCTACGCCCTGGGCGGCTTCGACTCGTCCAACTACCAGGCCACGGTGGAGCGGCTGGACCCGCGCGCCGGCCGCTGGGACCCCGTGCCGTCCATGTCGAGCCGGCGCTCCTCGTGCGGCGTGGCCGCCCTGGACGGCATGCTCTACTGCGTGGGCGGCAACGACGGCACCATGTGCATGAGCTCCGGCGAGCGCTTCAACGCGCGGCGCCAGGCCTGGGAGCCCATCGCCGCCATGCACTCGCGCAGGTAGGTCCAAGTCGCGCTGAACGCCAAACACTGCACTTACCGCCGAAGCCCCGCTTGGGCGTCTGGGGTGGGCCGCCGTCTTCACGCAGATGCACGACGGGTTGGCCTACCCGCCACGTGGCAGGCGCTACGCCTCCATGAGCCGCTCTGCTAACTCGCCGCCGTGCACCTCTTTCCCTCCGCAGGTCGACGCACGAGCTGGTGACCATGGGCGGCGCCCTGTACTCGCTGGGCGGCAACGACGGCAGCTCCTCGCTCAACTCGGTCGAGCGCTACGACGTCGCCACCAACAAGTGGGCGCTCGTGACGGCCATGCTGACGCGCCGCAGCTCGGTGGGCGCCGCCGTGCTGGACTGCCTGGGCGTCCCCTCGGCCAGCTAGTCCTTGCTCGTCACTGCCCTGTGATGCGACCGCCGCGCACCGCCGTGCATAGGCGAACCCGCGTAGGCACCGGACTGGACACTCTGCCGTCGCACCCTCACACCCCCCCCC